AAAAGATAAAAGTGCCAAAACTGTTAAGTGAGCATTCTTCTAATTTATAGTAAAGCCTTTCCATCAATTGAGGTGGTGACTGACAAGTAAACATCCTGTCCATAGACAAATACCTACAAATAGATACTGCTTTCTTTTTTTATTTTTTTAACTATTTTGATTATGTTTTAGAAAATTCTGCCTGATGGACATATAAAGAGGACCGAAATTTAAAAACTGCATTCCATTTGTGATTTTGGGACACAGTAATAGTCAAACAAAAATCCAACACAATCACTTAATAATGGACATTATAGTAACTTTAAGGCATTACAAGCATTTTTGTAGGGAAAAAAGAGGATAAGTTCTAAATTCATCCAAAAGTTATATGCAGTAGAGAAAACGTCCTGCCATGTTCACATGTACCCAGGATGTTTTAATTTCTTCAAATTGTTTAAATCTTAAACACATGCCATTTTTATGTTAGGAGCTATGAAATAAAACTATTCTCCAAAGTCTTTGTTTTAACCAACTAAATATTATAAATTTTTACTGGGTGATTTTCCACGGCACCAAAGTTATTTCTGAAAATCTGTCTGTAGTAAATGTGATGAGAGCATGCTCACCCTGAGGAGAGCCTGAGTGTCCGAACTCCTAACTCCAGAAATCACCGTGATTTGTCCATGCATTACTCTTACGGGCAATAACCTCATTATATTTTTGTTCATCACAGCTGTTATAATTTTATTTTCTCACATTAATGAATTAAAATCCTTCCAAGTATTGAATTACAGAGCAGTTCTTCTTAAAGGCCGATCAGCTGCCCCGTTAGTAAACCACCTAAGTATAGAATTTTCTCAACTGAGCTTGTTACGTGTCTTGGTGTCCTTCACCTTTCCTTTTACCTGTAGCTCCTGTGTGAGTTTTACATGAGAAAACAAGACAGAAAAATAAGAAAGTGCTTTGCAGAGCAGAAGTTACCTTTCATCCTGAAAGGAGTCCATAATCAAATTCTCTGAAGGCTACATATAGAATGTGTTCACATAAACTTCCTAAATTTGTACCTGGATGGCACTCTGAATCTACTCTTTTGTTCTTCCAAAATGGTGTATATACATTACGAATGAAAACAGTATAAGCACCAGCAAGGTAAGCCATGGATTATTTGCTCCTTTTGGGGTGAAGTTGGGTGAAGAAACTATCAAAATTTGGTTTGCAAATATAAGGAGCATTTGTATATGCATTCAAAATGTGAATGCAACATTAATTCCTCTTTTTTAAAGAAGTGTAATCATTCAGATGAATAAATTTTCAAATAAAACATAATCAAAGACTATCAGCCAAAGATCATGATTAGAAAATTAGAGCTAAAAAGAATAACCCACTGAGATTTTTACAAAACAAATGTAACTGTGGTTGCAAATGGGTGCAGACAGTGAACAGGCAATGGAATCACCCGCTCCTCCTCATTTCCCAGAGACAAAGTTTGAACCTGGAGAACGCAATGGCGTCACAAGAAGGTCAATGTTGAGAGGGTGTTCCGCTTGCTGTTTCCTAGTTCCGGTGACCTCTCACTGCCCATCCAGAGTGTCATGTCCTGACTGATGGCACCCCTTGAGCATCATCAGCACTAACATCTCTCTTAATAGTACATTTTCCTCTATCTATTTCTGCAACAACTTGGAAACATTAAAAGTCCATCCCTTCAATGAATTCAATCCAGTGGTTCTCAACCTTCCTAATGTCGCGACCCTTTAATACAGTTCCTCATGTTGTGGTGACCCCCAATTTCATTTTTACAAATTGAACATAATGAAAGCATAGTGATTAATCACAAAAACAATATGTAATTATATATGTGTTTTCCGATGGTCTTAGGCGACCCCTGTGAAAGGGTCGTTCGACCCCCAAAGGGGTCACGACCCACAGGTTGAGAACCGCTGCTTTAATCCAGGGGTCCTCAAACTTTTTAAACAGGGGGCCAGTTCACTGTCCCTCAGACCGTTGGAGGGCCGGACTATAGTTTAAAAAAAAATTATGAACAAATTCCTATGCACACTGCACATATCTTATTTTGAAGTAAAAAAACAAAACGGGAACAAATACAGTATTTGTATTTGCATGTGGCCCACGGGCCGTAGTTTGAGGACCCCTGCTTTAATCAAACATTCCTTTTATTTGCTAGGAAGGTGAAGGAGGCAAAATATAACTGAGAGTTCATTCCCTAAGTTGGGTCATGCATTGCCAAACTATACTATCAAGTGCTGGGAATGTACCCCTTTACAAAATAAAAAACGCATTACATATGCTGTCAGCGTGTCTTTAACCAAAATTAGGCTAATAAATTGTGTCAGTTTAAAGGTAGCAAGTTAACTAACGAAATTCCAATTATTGCTTTTATGAAATTAAATTTAATATGTGAAATTACTACTCAAATATTAAAGGTATTCTCAATTACTGTTGAAGCGAATGCATACTTTCACTAGGTTATGTCTACCCTGCTCTATTTTCTAGTTTCAAGAGTAGAACTTTCCTTTTGCATAACAAAGTAACAAAATTCATTTTTTGGAAATCAGTCAGAAATATCAAATCCTGGTCTTGGCAAAACTCTAGAACAAACCAAGGTACTATTTCTCACTTATAGGGGGGGAAATACATATTTACAACATTATTGCACAACCTCTTCAATATAGACAAGATTATTCTTACCTCTAGAATGTATCTTAAGAAGTAAATTCAATACTTCTTAACAAATAAGACTTTAAATGTTTTTAATAGAAATAATGCTATGAGCGATAAGCCATCGTGGTTGTGTTAGGTTCAGTGGACCACAGTTCTATATAAGAAAAAATTTATATTGGACACTTCACCCAAATGTCTTATGTATAGTACATTCCAAAGTACAGATTTGTTTTTACCATAATCAGTAACAGACTTTGGAGCACGTTGCTCTGTTTCAGTATTTCTCTTCTTGTTCTTGGACTTCCAAGCATGATACACTTTTAGTCTCCTATGAAATTCTTCTCTGCAAGCTGCCAGGAGCTCAATATCTACCAATTACATAGAAAGAGAAAGAGAGAAAAGAACATCCTAATTTAGTTGTCTAGCATAATTATTCTGTGGCATAAACATATATATATACTGACAGTATATAATATAAAGTTTTCATTTTAAAGTAATAGTAAAAAATTAAAAGTAAGCTAATTATTGATAAAGATGAGTATTTTATGGTAATATTATCTTTTATATTTACAGAATTTTATTATACATTATTACTGTTTTATATAATTTGTTCAACATAAGAATCCTGAACAAAACAAACACCTTGGACTAAACAGGTCTTTTATAGACGAAGAACTTAAATTACAGAGGTTAAGTCACTTGTCCAAGGTCACAGGCTACTACAACAGAATGAAAAGGAATAAAAAGTCACTGTATTCAAATGCAAGCTAGATTTATATGCAACACAGTTTTTGTTTGTAATTATGCAGATAAAATCAGTGAGGTAGGAAAGAACATAGTGAGAAGTCTGTACAACGATGACACTTTAGTTCCTATTTACAGTACTATGAATTCAACACTATGATTTAACCAAGAACTCAACCATGTGCGAACCTCTGGATATAGTATTTTATTCTGTTGGAAGAAAAAGTGTTAAAAAGGAAAGATTGGCCTGGCCAGTGTGGCTAAGTGGCTGAACATCAACCTATAAACCAGAGGCCACAGTTTGATTCCCAGTCAGGGCACATTGCCTGGGCTGCTGACTTGATCCCCAATGGGGACGTACAGGAGGCAGCCGATTGATGACTCATTCTCATCATTGATATTTCTATCTCTTGCTCCCTCTCCCTTCCTCTCTCTAAAATCAATAAAAACATATTTAAAAAAAAATAAAAGGAAGGACTGCACTGCCATCTTTTTCCTCTGCATTCATGGACCAAAAGATTCTGGTAAGTATTTAATTATATAAATAATATGAGATGGGCCAGTCATTAATATAGCCCAGACCATAATTGCTCTATGTTTTTCTTCTCTGACTTAGGCAAGAGATAAGCAAAATGAACTTAACTAATTTAAGTATGTCTTCCTTTTAGCTTTGTGAGTAAATTAGGTCTTCCTTTCAAGGTAATACTAACAAAGAGGATGGCTTATACTAATTCATATGCAAATTTTAAAAATAGCACCTGAAGCTGGGTATTTATTACCTGTCAGGTAGGGAGCCTTCCCATTTTTCATCCTTTCCATACACTTACCGCAAGAAGTATTGATGGTATCACGTAGCTCTGCATATTTCCATTTACTAAGATCATGTTTCTTGGTACCAGCAGCTGCCTTGGTGGCTTGTACAGCAGGACCTCTGCAATTATTACATATTTTTACATATTTAAACTAGAAACATGAATAAAATGTTAACTAAAGAAGGAAGAAAGTGAACATACATTTAAGAACTGGAAATAACTACTAGAAAAATGTAATTTTTGTATCTTTGATGGATGAAATGAAGAATGGTGTACTATAGAATGCCCAGGTAAATTAAAATTTTCCACCGTGCCACTTAATAGCTATATTAGGAGGACTTCTGATTCCAAATTCTAGTACCATAGGTTTATCTAAAGTTAAAAGATACATTTATATGTATTCCTCAAAATTAGAAAAGAAATCCTCAACATACATGAACAACATCATCAGAAGCACATTAAGGGTTGGTTTGTGAGCCATTAGGCCACACAGTACCATCACCTGTAGACTATTGGAAGCTACCGATGGCCAAGCCCCAATCACACCTACCGGCTCAGGATCTCCCTAGGCATCTGGGTGTTTACAGGGTCCACAGATAAATGTCTAAAATGCAACCCACCACATTAGTCATTAAAGAAAGGCTCAAAAAGCTGCTGGGTTCTGGAAACTCCTGTGAGCTTTTAACTTCACTGTTAAAGAACACATAGAAAAAAGTTCTACAACAGGGGTGGGGAACCTTTTTTCTGCCACGGGCCATCTGGATATTTATAACTTCATTCCCGTAATATAATTCACTTAATATAAATTTTTGTTGCTATGAAAAAAGCTCCTTGATTTATTCAATTTTGAGTCCCACCTACGGTTGCTCTGGCAGGGCCAGACCAAATGTTATCTTGGGCCTTAAAGGGCCAGCAGGCCAGATGTTCCCCACCCCTGTTCTATAACCAGATAAAACCACACCCAAATATTTAGTGAGTAATAAATATGTAAATTAAAGGAAGGGGTTTTAGGTCATAAAGCTGATAACGGAGATTTCAAAGGGCACAAGTGTTATATATTGCCCAGAGTAACAGGAATATTTGAGTAGAAAGAGAGGAAGCACATTTTAAAAATTAAAAATATGTACAAAATACTAAAATAATAAATTTAAAATAAAACAGGACATTTTTTTCCTAGTAGTGCTACTCCAGGCTTAAGCTATGTACATAATTTTAAATAATTATTCAGAAAATACAGGAACAACTTGTTTTCTGTAATAATGAACATTACTTTCCAGCAGCTTACACTAGCCACAGAGGAGACACTCAGAATAAGTGCAAGTGGACTTTTAAGCACAAAGTAATGAAGGAAGAATTTAAACACATCCTATTTCAAGACGTGAAAAGAAGATGACACAAATATTAAAAGAACTAAATATTAAAGAACTAAAATATTGCTTCTCAGATACCAAACAAGAAATTTCACCTTTATCTTCCACTTCTCCAAAAATGTCCTCTCAAAGAGGAACAATCAAGGTACAACACTAAAGGGAGCTACTTTCTCATCATGTTACATTTTGAAAGATAACAACAATCCTGACCGTCAAGACAGAGATAATGAGACTGACTGGAAAATGATGTGGGAGAATATGTATCCTTCTTCCTGAAATCAAGGAAATTATTTCTTCAATAGTGAGCTTACCAATGAAATAGGGTACTTGTACCTCTTTACAAGGCCTATTTATGCTTTCATTTTAGAGAACAAAACACAACATACTTCAGCCTACATACTTAAAAATTGTTCGACACACAAAAGCCTGGATAAAAACTAATGTGTGGCCATTTAGTCCTTCCTGCTTTTTGTGGTTAAAATCTGTTTTAGGTTTACTGAAGAATCCATATTTTTCATAAGCTGTGCGACTGGCAATTTCCCATGTAGCTCTTTCTTCTAAATTGCTTTGCTCAGAAAGAGCCAGCTGTGTGTCAGCAAGGTCTATTACCCTTAACAATAAATTATGCTTTAACATTTATTCAAATTCTGTATTCTTTTTTCCCTTTTTTATAGCACTAAAATACCATTCAATAAGCCAACAAAAACTTCTCTTTTCTTCTTAGTTCTTCTAAGAGTCTTTTCTAAAAGAACAGCTGGAAATTATTATGGGTTTTTTAATGTTGCTTTATTTTCTTTTGAAAGAATTACTGAATTTACTTACTATACCATTTATAGATGGTCAGAAAATACATGAGGTGTCAATATACACAAGGTGTGTTTTAATACTTTTAAAAATAATAACACTGAATTCAAATTATTGTTGCTTAAAATATGATTTTGGTATTACTAACTTTTAATTCATATTACCTCAAACAAAAAGACACCTACTTAAAATCATACTCAGCATCCTAAGAAATACACGACTAAAATGCACCTTTGGAGTTATTAAAATAGTAAAATAAAGCTGTAATTTATTGTTTAGAATTTATTATCAGACATTCATATAAACAATAAAGTAGTAGGGAAATTGACTTTTGATTTTTAAAAATATATTAGACACCTTCAATTAATTTTGTAAGCTCAAAATTAACAGTTAAAATGTTATTGATTTGTATCCACTTATAAAGGTAATGGACCAGGTCCTGCTGGGAAGTTATAGCCTTTGGTGGCTCAGTTTTTACATCAGTGGTTTTTATTTTTGTTAATCCTCACCCAAGGATATTTTTTCCATTGGTTTTTAGAGAGAGTGAAAGGGAGGGGGAGAGACACAGATAGACAAACATCAATGTAAGAGACACATCTATTGGTTACCTCATGCCTGCAACCGTATAGGACCCTTCAGTACGAGGGACCCTTCAATCCACAGGCCGATGCTCTATCCACTGAGCCAAACCGGCTAGGGCTCATCGGTGGTTTTTAAACTGTGTACTGTGGGGTAAAAATCCTTGGGAGCAGGACTCCCCTCTTCAACTAGGCACAGTGGTTCCCAGCCAGGGGCAGCACCACCCCTAGAGGGAGTTTCAAAATACTCATTCCATCAGGAAGACAGAAAGGGTCCCCTAAGAGACTGAGCTGGTGGGGGCCAGTGATAGGCACAGCAGTACTACCAACAAGGAAGAGTCTGTTCCAAAATGCCAGTGGTTTCACCACTGGGAAACACCGACAGACAGGAACACCGGTTTTTATCTTTTTCTATGTGAGAGTGAAGTGAACACTTCTTGTACAGAAAATATACATGGAAAGAGTGCATTATTCATATGACAGGTTCTGATACAAATATTGACGAGTAATTTAAAAATATGACTCTGAGGTGGCACGTATTCCCCCAAATTGTACTGCACTAACCTACTCAAGATTTCTGACATTTCTTTCGCCATTTGTTCCCTATAAAAGAATGATAATACAGCATAGTTATATAAAAGACAATTACATATAAATTACTTAAAATATCTAAAAGCATAAATAAAATTTTATATTTAAAAAATATTTATATTTTCAATACGATTATTGAATTACTAACCATTCACTATTATTTTACTTTGTAAAAGTCTGCAATATACTTTTTTTTACATACGTAGCCATAAAATACAGCAAAATTTTTGTTTAGATCCAGTTAAAGTTATTCAAACTTTCCTATTTTTGCAGTAAGAACTTTCAAATAAAATCTCATGAGAGCCATGCTTCTTAGTATTATTTTTTATGTACAGAATAAAATGTTCTAAATGCAGACAGGAAACTTGGCAGAATATAGATTCTATATAAAATTTTACACTGGATTGCTTAGAAAATATTAATTAGCAAGGTATAATGGTGGTAAAACAAGTTGATCTATTTTACATTGCCAGAGTTTAAATAATTCTGATGTACTCAAAGTTTTAGAATTCTAGATCAAAGTGTATTTCCATTAAAAAAATTCAAATGCATCAAGTGCTTGTTAAATATTAAGATGAGAAGTGTTCTGACTTTTCAAGGACAAACTTTTCCCAAAGGCCAAAACTTATTTAGCTCTTATTACCCAAAGAGTGTAACTTTCTCAATATTTATTTAAATCTGTGAAATAGAATGGATGTTTCATCATGTTTCTCAATAATTTGTTAGCCTTACTATTTTCCTGTCCTTTGCTGTCTTCCTTCATAATTAATAAGTTTCTCACTCATTCTATTCATCAGACTCTGGTAAATCCCCAAATCCTATAAACCAGTAAAAATCATAACAAAAGATGGTAGCTGTGCCTTAGGGCACGGTTTCCTGGGTGCCCACCCAGACTCCCGGACTCCTACTAGTACATCTCTTTCCTTGTACTGGACACTGACTAAGCTCAGGTACTGATGGAGATCTAGTTGAGCAAGCAGTCAGAGAAAAAGAAATCTTTCAAAACTGATGATCAAGGACAAGAAACACAAAGTAAAAAACACAAATGTAATCTAAAGAAACTGCCTATTGAGCAATGTATCAACCTCTCTTTAGGCTAGTCAGGACTTCCTAACGTTCAAACTCAGCATGATTTTGGTAACTATTTTTAATTCTATTATCACCTACCCCAAGGTTTCTATAAGTACCCAAGAGCACCTCTGATTTTACCACCGCTTGAAGCTCCCTCCGATTCCCTTCCCACAGCAGGTTTCAAGGGAATCAGAGCTCTTTCACTACTTGGACTATTGATCGAATAACAATTCCTCTGTATACCCCCATGCTTTATTGGATGGCCATCTCTACTGGTTTAGTATCTCACCGGGCCTATGTTACACCAAATATACTGAACAGAAATGGTTCCTGAATCCAGGTGCTTTTTCCCTTCTGATCTTCCCAGGCTAGTATATGCAGATGCTCACAATTTCACCTTAGACCAGTGGTCGTCAAATTGCAGCTGGTGAGCCACATGCGGCTCTTTGGCCCCTTGAGTGTGGCTCTTCCACAAAATACCACGTGCGGGTGCGCACATACAGTGCAATTGAAACTTCGTGGCCCATGCGCAGAAGTCGGTATTTTGTGGAAGAGTCACACTCAAGGGGTCAAAGAGCCGCATGTGGCTCACGAGCCGCAGTTTGCCGACCACTACCTTAGACCATCGATTACAGAGCTAAATTCAAGCTCAACTGGTAACTATATATAAGTTTTTTTAATGGAGGGTGAGAGCATCCACTCAGTAACATTTTTAAAACCTGGTGCGTTGTGGTGAACAATGGTGTTGGCATTTGATGGGGTGAGGGGTCAGGGATGCCAAATGTCCTGCACATGGAAGAGCTGCCCTATGCCTCATGGGACTTTAACATTGAGGTGAAATGCACACACACCAGTTGTATGTGGAAACAAAGTTTTACATGTAGAACTTTTTTTGCCTGGTTTTAACATTCAGATAATTTCTGTAAGGATGCACCTATTGCAAAATGGAGAGGAGAGTGTACTTAACTCTGTCCAGAACTTTACAAAGGACTGTTCACAACTGCATGGCATTTACTGACTGATGTAACGTTCTTACATAAATTTGCGTTTGAAGTGGTTGCATTCATGGTGCTCTTATGTATGCATACAAACATTTGAGTACTTGATTACATTTTTCCATAGTTGTAAACAAGCACTTTTCATATTAAAATAAACATTGCTTCATTATAAATTACTATGCTTTTACTTCTCTTTAACATGCATTGTTTCGAGAACTATATATACACATGCATCATTTTTACGTTTGTTATTGGTATCTGTGTCTGAGGAGTTGAGAACCATTACTATAAGAGTTGGGGCCTAAAAGCTGTTAATATTCAGATTTTATGCATATTCCAAAATTTTATATGTATAGTATGTATAAAATACAAGCATATCCCAAATGTTACTTAGATTCTCTCTGTGTGGAGAGATTTTCATAACAAAAAGACAGATCAGCATCAAAATTAGCATTATATATATAACTTCAGATTATAAACTATTTTAGGTATCAGTAGAATAAACTATCACATCTGCTGAAAACTAAGCTATCTATTATGACTCAACTACTTTAAATATTTTATTTATTCTTACTTATATCTCTATATCTGTTTCTATAAAGACAATAAGTAATGAATAATTAAAAACACATAAAACAAAATGGGTGTTTAAACAATGTTAGAAAACACAAAGAAGGAAACCAAATCATAAACTACTGTGACTGAACACCATACAAGAACCATTAAACATTTTTCCTGTGCAAAGAAAAAATGAGTTATCTTATTCTTTTTAATAACAGGAAATAATGTAAAATTCACTTAAATAAGGAAATTATTTCTCCTAAAAAATATCCATAACCTGTTAAAAAAAAAAAGTTATATGACTAAGTCAAATTGTAAAAAGCGAAATGACGTACGGTGTCATTTTGGGTCTTGCTCCATTAATTCTGTGAAAAGAATAGATTTTTGTTAATATCATAACCAACTCTGAATTGTGAAAATCTGGACTGTGCCCAACTTGTGTTTTGGTGACTTTACTGATTTAAAAAAGTGCATAATCTTTATTTAATCTACGTGTGAGATTACTCACAATTTCAGACACAGGCAGACCTTGTTTTATTGTGATTTGCTTCACAGAGCTTCACAAATGTTGTGTTTTTCACAAATTGAAGACAAGACCCTCCACAAACACAAAGTTTATGACTCACTTTATTGCAGTTCTTTGGAACTGACCCCACAATGTCTTCAAGGTATGCCTGTTATGTGAAATCATAACTCTGCATCCAGGATCATGTGTGTAACTGATTGAGACCATATTTTAAAACATACTATACATGTGAAAAATAATTCTTACTTAGAAGTTACTGGATGGGTAACCGAGCTGGAAAAGTAACTTGAAATTGTTTATTGCAGCAGAATCCATCTACATATATTTTTTAATACATCACAGAACCCAAGAACACATTAAGAACAGGGCTAGAGAGTTCTTACTCATAAATTGTTAGAAAGAATTCAGTACTAACAAAGGCAAAATAAACATTCAAAAACATTAATGTAAGCCCTGGAGTAAGATAAAATTATCAAACACGGGACATCAGTACAGAACATCATCCATAACACATTGCTAATGCTTCCAGTGCACAGTATACACTAACCAGGAGATTCAGAGGAGAAGGCACTCACAGGACCAGAGGTCAGAGAAAGTTTCCTGGGAGAGAGGCTTACAGGCAGGACTTCAATGGGCATTCGAGAGGAGGGGACAGCATCTCCAGGCCTGTCCGACGGGAGAACTAAAACGAACTCTTCCTCCCTTCAAGTTACAACTGCTTGAATAGCTCCTAATCACTTAGTTGTGGTCCCATTACCTAGTAAATTCTGCTTCACCTAAATCTCAGGTGACTTGTCATTTTTGTCAAAGGTCCTAAATGGTCCACTCCCTCCCTGAGACCACTCACTCTGGAAGAAGTGCATCTTTCTGAAGATGGGAAGCAGTGCACATATGAGCCAGTATCTTACACATAGTATAAGGGATGGTACTGGATATAGCTGAATATTTCAAAGGCTCACACAAAAGCTTAGCCATGAATACCAATAATGACTACATTAATGAGCCCCTTAGAAATGACTTTCAGTCATACTAAAGCCAGCTCTGCCCATTTCAGTCTGTCCTCACACGTTAGGAATGGCAGCTGTCAGTGCCTGGTTTGTTTAGGAGCCTGGCCAACCCACTGGTCAGTTATACCAAAGACTTCCGGCCATTGCAACATAGCACAGGGGGGAGGAATGGAACAGCAGCTAAGCTAAGTCTGCATGTACAAAAGCCATAGATGGGTGGGAATGTTTTAATTATGGCAAAATGTTAACCAAGAGCCCAACTATTGGACTCAAACCCAACAGCTTAAAAAATTATTATAATACCTGTGCTTGATAGGCCTATTCAGTTTATTTAAATATAATATACTTCAATACACAATTCAGGCCCCAGAACTCCCCAATATAATCACTTACTAGAAAAAGTGTGAAGGTAAGTTAACATACCCTTTTCCTTCCCTATCTTGTTTTCAGCTAAATAAAATCTAAGCACTGCTCTATAATATAAAACAAGTTTTCCTTTCACAGGAAATAGCAACATCTACTATTTTTATTTTTATTATATGTTGTCATAAACAGTGCTCTAACATTCTGAAAAGCATAGTTACATATATGAATGTGCCTCACCATACATATAGAACATATATACCTACATATAAAGGAACTCCACAAACTAGTTTTGCTGTTTTTACAAATATTCCAAAAAACTAATATTTCCATATTCTAAATTTAAAATGAATCTATTATACTAAAACCTTCCTGAAATTTTTAATAAGGACTTCCAACTTCCTCCACACTCCAATAACATATAGTATTTAGAGATAATTCAGAAACCCGAGGAGCCAAAATATTTCAATGTGATAAACCTTCCTTCTTGGAAAAGGAAATCTATTTATTCTGAAACATAGAGTGTGTATGTGTGTGTAAAATTTCCCCTCATTTCAAATGTTAGTATATATATAATTTGCATTAGGAAAATAATAAATACCAACCTCAAATATATTAGACTGGATTATAATAAAGTGACTGATTTCTATTATAGACTTTAATGACAGGTATATAGAAATTAGATGTCTACCTTAAACCAGATGTATAAAGATACAATACTCTTTGGCACTATCAGAGTAAACATTGATATGTTTTCTTAAAGTACTCATGAACTGAAGTATCAGTTTTGTTTTTCAATAGTTTAACAATTTGATAAAATCAATTTGTTTCATTCCTTTGGGTGTAAGAATGGATACAAAGAAGTTTTAAATGATTTTACTTAAAATATACCAGGACCTAAGGAATATGATTCTCCTATTCCCTTCAGGCTGAAGTGAGAGGCACAGAGGGAGACTGCAGAGAGAGCGCCACACCCCACCCAGCAGCCCAGTACCTGCGGAGCGCCAGGTCCGCCTGGGCCTCGTCACTGATGAGCTCTGCTTCGCTCTGGGCGATCCTCAGGGCCAGCTCGCGGTCCCTACGCTCCTGCTCCAGCACCGCTTGCTGCTGGGACTCCTCCTCCCGCTGTCGGGCCAGCTGCTCCTCCACTTCAGCCTGCCAAGGACAGAAAGTAGGTTCACCAAAGTGTCCCCACATGTCCTCTTGGTCATCCCCATTCCTACTTAAAATTGTTCCAGACAAGTTCCTTAGTAAGGAATGTATCATCTAACCAGAAAGCTCTTCAGTCTCTATTCTCTCTATATTATAATTTATACTTGCTCTTTCCAAATCTAAGAGAAGGCAGAGAAACCATAGTTCCACCATTCCATAACGATGAGTGTCCCAAATATCACAGGAGTATCCCAGGTATCACATTAACACTAACACCAGGCAAGCAGATGTCAGGAATTTAAAGTGTTGGTTGTGCTCAGGATAAGTTAATAAAGCCAAGAAACTCAAATACGTGATCAATTACTCTCAGACATGGACTTTTTAAAAAATGGGGATGAGGAAAGAATCTTATCCTAATTTATTACTATTAGTGTCTACAATGTTATAAAATAATATTTTATAATTTGTTTAACTGGAGGAAAGTACATTCTGACATTATATTTTATTTTATTTTATTTTTTTAAATATATTTTATTGATTTTTTACAGAGAGGAAGGGAAAGAGATAGAGAGTTAGAAACATCGATGAGAGAGAAACATCGATCAGCTGCCTCCTGCACATCTCCCACTGGGGATGTGCCCGCAACCCAGGTACATGCCCTTGACCGGAATTGAACCTGGGACCTTTCAGTCCGCAGGCCGACGCTCTATCCACTGAGCCAAACCGGTTTCGGCTGACATTATATTTTAAATAAATGTTCATCTGGCATTCCCCTCGGTATAATAATAATAATAATAATAACAAACCAATATTTATTGAACTGAACACTGTTTGAAATGCTTTAACATGTGTTAACTCGTTTGATGCTCACAACTATTATTTACCCACATTCCACAGAGAGAAACTGTGGCCCAGTCACTCATGGTGACTTGTACGATGTCCTCATTTCTGTCAGTGACAGAGGCTGGATCTTAACTCACGTTCCTGACTCCAAAGTCCCTGCCCATAACCATTTCAGAAACTGCTTTCCATCTCTGAGATAAACCAATGACAGCCTATCTAACAAATCAAGATCTTCCTTTCACTTCTTTTGTTTTATAATTTTGTAGATTCTATTTTGATAGAAATTCAGTTCAACTGTCTAATCAGTACATACCTGAATACGTTTTTCATCATCTTCCCTTTTCTTCCTCTCTTCTTCTTCTTGCTTTCTCTTTGCTTCCATCTCAAGTTTCCTTAACAAAACAAAAAAAGAAAGAAAAGAAAACTCTTCAAAAACGTTATAGAAAAATCAGGAATCCTTCAGAAGGCAATTTAAACTATTCACAAAGGTTACAGAATGGGGGCTCACATTAACCGCCTGGCCATATACATTATCATTCTTTAAATCTAGTTCTACTGAGAATTAATCTTCTGAAACAAGACTAATACATTATATTGCATAACCTTTAACATCTCTAGAGTAACTTGGTTACAAAGCCTAGTTGCAAGGTCCTGGTT